CATATCTAAATGTATTGGTTTTTGTTTATATCTATTTTATATTTTTTACTGTTAGTTTGTGGTATGTAGTGTGGGGGGTGTGGGGGGTGGGGGGGCGGTCGGGTTGCCGACCTCATGAATGGGAAAACGTCTCAAACGAGCATGGATTATTGCTAGATGTTACGTTTGTTTGAGACCCCAGAACCGGAGGTTCTCATTGTTCTCCTGGAAATTGAAATCCAGTGTGAAAGAAAAATTGTAATAACAAACGGAAATCTTAACAAATAACAGGAGCCCAGCAAATACAGAAATAAGTGGACCACTCTGTGCATTTCTGATTGGTGTTGATTTATAGCAATTTAGCAAACGCGCGCTCTATTTATGATGATGATGATTTTTTTATTTGTTCTTCCAGTTGTTGTTGTTAAACTGTTGAACTTTCTTATTTCGTGTTATAAATGACTGTTTTGCTTTTTTTCGCCTTGTTATTGTACAGTTTATTGTAATGTTAAGTTAAATAATGTTCAATAACTAAAAAACAAAACCACATAGAAAGCGCGCAGGGGACTTTCTCGCGCTTCGAGCCGTACGAGCAGAAAAGAAGTAGGGAGTTAAAGCAAAGACGTTTTTGAGCCCCGTACGTCAACCGAAAGTGATGCGTTTTCCTTAACCAAATTTGTATTACTATCTCTCTTTAGTCTTAACAGACGGTATGCGTCAAACTTTGGGCAAAAACCACTGCCCAGGAATGCAAAAGTTCACTTCCGGCAGGAGCCGATTGGCTCCTGCTTCCGGTTAACGTGCGTCGCCCGAACGTCTTTGCTTAAGCTCCTAATATCCCAATGCTTTGCAGGCTAACACGATTAAGGTACCTTGAAAACTTAAGCCATGACAGTGATCCACGTCATCTGATTTTGTTCTAATAAATTATGTCACAGTGACTGCTTTATCACATATATGTAAGTCATAAGAATAAAGAAAGTGATCACACAAGACAAAATAATCCACTTACAATACTCCTGCCACTAAAATGAGAATATTCAAGGCTATAAGACCGATGACGATTCCTAAGATTATCCAGTTCCATTTTTGGATTTCTTTGGCCTTGCTAGTGGGTTTAGGGTCAGTGGATTCTGTAAAAGAAGAAATATAAAGCAGAATAAATAAATGTCAATTTAAAAAAAGGAAACAGCGCGCGCAGATCTAAAAACCGAATGGATCAATGGAAGAAGGAAGACTTGAGCACCATTTTTTTTTTTTTTTTTTTTNTTAACCAAATTTGTATTACTATCTCTCTTTAGTCTTAACAGACGGTATGCGTCAAACTTTGGGCAAAAACCACTGCCCAGGAATGCAAAAGTTCACTTCCGGCAGGAGCCGATTGGCTCCTGCTTCCGGTTAACGTGCGTCGCCCGAACGTCTTTGCTTAAGCTCCTAATATCCCAATGCTTTGCAGGCTAACACGATTAAGGTACCTTGAAAACTTAAGCCATGACAGTGATCCACGTCATCTGATTTTGTTCTAATAAATTATGTCACAGTGACTGCTTTATCACATATATGTAAGTCATAAGAATAAAGAAAGTGATCACACAAGACAAAATAATCCACTTACAATACTCCTGCCACTAAAATGAGAATATTCAAGGCTATAAGACCGATGACGATTCCTAAGATTATCCAGTTCCATTTTTGGATTTCTTTGGCCTTGCTAGTGGGTTTAGGGTCAGTGGATTCTGTAAAAGAAGAAATATAAAGCAGAATAAATAAATGTCAATTTAAAAAAAGGAAACAGCGCGCGCAGATCTAAAAACCGAATGGATCAATGGAAGAAGGAAGACTTGAGCACCATTTTTTTTTTTTTTTTTTTTTAAGGTGGGTTTCCATTGTTGCGTAATACGTGCGTACGCACATAAATTTTCCGCGCGTAAATAAAAGAGTGGCAGTCTATGAAAAGGCGCGCGTAAACGTAAACTTTGACTTTTATGCGCGGCCATCCATACATTGCATTGTTTCCATTTTATTTACGCGGGTAAATTTTCTGTGGATACGCACGTTAAGATTACGCGAGAGTGGAAATCCACTCTAAGTCGTGTTCAGTCCTTTCCGGGCACTTTGGCGTACTTATTTGAACCTGCGTATATTTTTCCAAATCTCCCTTATGACAGCGACAGGAAGTTGTAAGCTTCGCGTTATGATAAAAGGAATTTTCTCTCTTCTAGGAAGAGAAAAACTACTTGTGCAAATGTTACCATAGGATGGAATTTACTTAGCCTGTGTATAGCCGCCGAGGAAAACAAGCCCAAAGCCCAGACTATTGGTAAAGCGCGAGGCAGGGTCTCCACGATCGAGTCCAGGGCGCCATCCGCTGGAGGGATGTCTGGTGAAGAGGGGCGTGGCCACACTTTAGGCAATGCCCGTGGCAAGGTCTCCGCGATCGTGGAGGGCGCAATCCGCTGGAGGGATGTCTGGGAGCATGCACCCCACCATCACTACCACCATCCCAAGAAAATTTTGAATCTAGAAGCATCTTAAACGCTATCATTTTTCATAAGGCATTTCTTCCCCAAAATCAATAGCTTCAACTGCAAATTCTTACTTTTTCCAAACTTAATTATGCTAGAGTAGCATTTAAATAAGGCAAGTGCCTTATCTTGCCCCTCGCCCTACCTTAGAGGAATTAGAGTCTTCAAGGAAAAAATGGTGGTACTTAGGAAAATGATAAGAAAAAAATAATAAATGAAATAGATGTCAAATGTTAAAGCGAGGAATTAACCTTATTCCATAAAAGCAAAATGAACATAGAAGTAAACGCCGACGGTTAATGTAATGACGAAAGATCAACTTCTGATGAAGAGGCAGTCAATGGAAAAAAAATGAAGCGATCATTGTTCTTAAAGCGGGCGACCATGCAGAGGAGCCCGCAATCTTAATCTCCAGGTCACTATTACGCATGGGCAGCACGTAAGCAACCAGCATTCGTTTGGATTTCCACTACAGATTAGAGAGCGTTAGATTTGAGGACCAGAATGAGTACGAGTGCGAGATTTAACTAAAAGGTTTTGTGCGTGTTCTAAAAAAGGACATCCCGGAAAGCTTCATCTTACTTTTTTTCACCAAAAAATTTAGTACGGTTATTTATACTGAAGGAGGTTAAGCTCTCTCTCTCGATTGCAAAATGATAAAACCTCTCACCTTCGATAACTTGTTCCCGCCACTACGACATTCTCTCTAAAACCCGTTTTAGAATGACGACGGTTATCACGTTTTCCCGCCGAAATGACGCTGACTCACGCGCGTGCACTACTTTAACAGTTTTGAGAAAATCTCGTACTCGTAGTCATCCTCGTCCTCAAATCTAAAGCACTCTGGGCCCAGTTGTTGGAAGCCCGATTAGCGCTTAACCCGGGGTTCAATTTAACCCGGGTTTTTTTTTTCTTGTGTTCAAAAGCATTTTCTCGGATAATTTTCTCTGTTATTTTTAGAGCTTCTAATCATCAACCCGTAGATAAAAAGAATTAAAACTGATATGCTTTTTAAGCTTTCAAATCTGAATTCAAATCTCGAACTAACCCCGGGTTATTTTAACCCAGCTTTGAACAACTCGGCCCTGAAGAATAGAATGCACAGAACGCTATCTGATCACGGGCGTTTGGATCTTCTCTCCCTCGTAATCTGATCAAGATTGTTTTAACCTTCTTTCACGTGAAATTTACGCAAATCACAGCTTTGGAGTAAGAGCGTTTTGACGTTCGATGTATCTCGCCTGCACTCCCTAACCTTCAACCTCGTCGTCAGGCTTTTTCCCTTTGAAAAGCCCTGAGGACGAGCTTGCCTAACCTTTGGTTATTACTAGTTATACATGTGGTTCACCTTTGCAAGAGAGCCCGTCCATTTGTAGCTTGTGTCCAGGTTTGCAAGCGCACGCATAGCTACCCACAGTGTTGACACAAATGTGTTCACATTTATGCCTTGCAGTTGTACTGTTACACTCGTCCAAGTCTGACAAGACATGAATAACACAAAAAATGAATAGCCTTATAAAATGTTATTCATACTGGACATTTTTCAGCCAAGTATCTATCTGATTTAAAAGAAAGGTAGCCTGAGAAAACACCCGACATTTCGCAACGCCTCCATTAGTACGTCTGAGCAAGGAACGCAGAAATTCCCTACTAATGATCACGACGCGTTACTACACAGATTTGGGTAGCGCTTCTGATTGGTTAAAACTTTCCTTTATTCGATAAAAAGCACTATCCAGATCCTGGTAGTGACGCGTCGTCAGTATCATTATGTAATTTCTGCGCTCGTTGCTCAGACGTGATTTCGCGGAGAGCCAGGGGTGGCGTTTCGAATCAGCTTTGATATGTCTATAGCAAAGAAAATTACAAGTAATTGAAAATGTGGTAATGCTCTGGATACCCTGGATGCTAGAGAACTTCGGTTTCCGGCTTCGGTCAAGTCTTCGGTTCGCCGGTCGTAGCTTCGGCCTTGCTGCTGCGCGGGCGACACTGAAGTATTCCGTATTCCGCCGCAAACGAGGAAAGAACCTCTGGTACCCAGGATACACTACGGACTTGGATTGCATTTTTTTTTCCCTCTATGTCTTCTTTGATTTCATATTTGCTATGTTATTTAACCCTTCCTTCAATGATTTAGCCAGTTGTTTCTTTATGTTCAATTAGCTGGCCAATTTCCACCGTCTGTATTTGACTAAATTTACTGACACAACTCTTTTAACACTAGTTATATCCACTGCACGGTATTTTAAAAACAATACCTGCACATTTGTGAAGGTCACTTTCAAGTTGAAATCCAGGGTCACAAGAGCAGTTGTAAGTTGTTCCATTTTTCATACAGTTGTGCGCACATCCTCCATTACTCTGTTTGCAGGGGTCGACAGCTGTGTAATAGAATTCAATTACGAGTTAGTCTCGCTTAAATATGCCGACTTTTTTCTTGGCTAGTTCCTCAATTTTCTCCGCAACTAATTCGGTGACCTCTCGTTGTATATACTTTTATTTATTTGTCATGAAAAATATTGTTCCTCAACGTGGTTTGTGTCTATAAAGGATTTCGTTTATCGTTTGTCTCACGATTGTCACTTAGACATCGATAGCGATGTTTCCACCGCGTACTTCATCAGGCGATAGTGTTGATTCACTGATCATGAGTGGGGCTATTTATACCACCGTGATTGTTAGTGATTGTTGTATCATGAACCTCGCTCATTGTTGGTGGGTTTCGATCCAAAGTATTGTTGGCATTATGTAGAGGAGGAGACTGTTCCCTTATTATTTATTTATTTATTTATTTGACATTTCTATTAGATGTAAAACATTACATTATTTTCACAGAAGCTCAGAGGGTAAAAAAATCAATGTTAGGTGTTTTCGAGGGAAAGACTTTAAATCTGAAAAACAGAAATTGATAAAGGTAATAATCAGACAAGGAGAGAGGCTTACCCACTGATGCAGAGGTAGCAGGAACAACTGAAGAGGAACTAGGAGAAATGAGGGCGTTCAGCGATGATGACAATACTGAGACGGTTTGGGCCTGAGCGTTCGAGGCAGTAGAAGTAGGGGCAGGAGTAGCTACCGGCGACGATGAAGATGTGGAAGTAGTTTGGACCTGGGCAGTGGAAAAAGAAAAGGTAGGCGCAGGATTAGCTGCCAGCGACGATGAAGATGTGGAAGTAGTTTGGACCTGGGCGGTGGAAGCAGCAGAGGTAGATGCAGGAATAGCTGCAAGCGACGATGAAGAAGTGGACGTAGTTTGGACCTGGGCGGTCGCAGCAACAGAAGCCGATGAAGATTGCGAGGCCGTTGGGATGGTCACAGGGGACACTTGTAACCGAGCAGTGGACGGAGTAGGGTTCGCTATTGATGACAAGGAAAGAAGGGATGTCGCGCTAGTTGATCCCATCAGAGAACCTAGTGATGAAGAAAAAATGTTACTTTTAATCTGTTTTTCAATTTGATATTAACTCTTTTTAAGAAAGCGAAGGTGGCGAAAACGTCGCTTACAAAGCGAATTCGCTTTCTTTCGTCGGATTATTCCAACTCGCTTAGTTCGCCAAATGCAATCGAAATCATGTGGAATTGAATTCCTAAGAACTATATCCAAGTTCAGAGAGAGAACATTGTCGTCGCTTGTTGACATCCTCCATTAAACGTGAATTAAGGCATTTTCACGTCGTAGTCGTGCAGTAACGCAAAAAAATAAACCAAGAAAGTGTGCTGCACGTGCAGAGTTGTTGTTTCGCTTATTAAACCTATTGCTTTTTTTGACGTTTTCGTTGCCGTCGCCGTTGTGGCAACTCAAACTCGCTACTATTTAACCTACGAGGAGACATGCGCGGAGACTTCCCGAAACAGATGACCTACTCTTCAGTTAGCATGCGTGGCAGACGTAATCCTTTTCCCTCCCCTCCCCTTTCGACGCATGTCTTACAGGCTAGCTATGAGATAAAGTAATTAGTCATGGTCAAGTAGATATCATTCAGCAACAATGGTCTTCAACAAGGTTGCAAATTTAGCTGTTTCTTGTCTGGGATAGGTCGAGACACCCGAGCAGAATATGTAAAGCAGTACTTCCTCGCCTCTAACCCTCTGTGCAGTTATCGCACACAGCTCTTGCAGGTAATTAGAGACAGAGTCTCGTTTACGGCAAACGGCAAACGTCAGATTTAAGTTGAGAATTTCTCAGAATAGAAAATCAGAGTTTTCATTAGCCATCGGAGATCGGAGAATTCTCCGGCTAACGTTCGGTAGCCTATGACTATTTTTTATTCAGACGTGGAGCCTCTTTCAAAATATTCTCCTGTAACGTTACACCTTTTTGCTGCTACTACAATTCATAATGAAAACCCTGGAAAATAAGATGATAAAAACTGTGCAGGACAATTTTTATGGAAAACTGGCTTAAAACTATTTAGTTTTGAGTAGAACTAATAAACAGTAAACGATAATTAAGGGGAGAACTTCGTCACGTGGTACAAATAAGCCATTTCCGAGTTCCCCAGGCCTCTGTATCATTACGAGGTTAAGTGCTCAGCCTTTGATATGGAAATGATTTTTCATTCTCATGCAAACAAAACTCATTTTCAGAAGAAAGGTTGTGCACTTGGCCTCATTTTGAAAGTGTGGGTTTTTGGAACTCGGAAGTGGCCTGTTCACGTTTGCCGTTTGGCGTAAACGTGATTCTTAGTCTCTCTACTATCTTCTCTATCCTCCCCATGAATACCATTCACAGTTATGTCAAGCGAAAAGCAATTTCCAAACATTTTTAAATAACTAGTAGTAAGAAGTAGAAACCAGAAGTACCAAGTAACCCATATATCTTGAATTTAGTAAAATATCAATGCTGTGTTCTGATTGGTTGAGCTACTACTAGGCTATATGTCATAGTCCACTAGTAGCGAAAAGCACAGGCTTGTTGGAGGCAAAAGAGGGTTAAAGTCTAGCTTTAACTAGCTAAATTTTTTTTATTCTCGATATTTTTGACCAACTAGTTGGATTTTACTAAAACAATTATTCCTCTCGCCCTCATGGCCTCTGAGTCAATAGCCCATTGTTAAATATCTTTTGCCATGTGACTGGCTTGTTTTGTCTTCCGACCGTTTCCGTCCAATCACATAGGCTTCAACAGGAAGTTTACAAGTTATCTTTTTACGAGTTCCCTGAGCCTGTTAAGGTAAAATTCCGACAAGCGACATGGCCTTGAAACAGCTAATCAAGACCCAGATAAAATGGCGAAAAAAAGACACAGAAATGGGTTGAAATTGAGACAGCGACAAAGATTAGGACAAATGTAATTGAAAAAAAAAACGTCAGGAACTGTGGCTTTCTTCTCGATCAATACGCGAGAGAACCGGTTTTGACATAGGTACCCCAAGCTTACGAGGGAGAATCGTTGTTGCGTAACAAAAATATTGGAGACCCTAGATTCGAGGACGAGAACGACTGAGAGTACGTGATTTAACTTAAAGCGTATTCTAAAGCTTAATTGTACTTCTTTTGATTACAAAAGATAGCACCGTTATTTATATTGAAGGAGGTTAAGCCCTCTCTCGATCGCAAAATGATAAAACTTCTAACATTTGATAACTCGTTTCCACCATTATGACATTCTCGCTAGGCGTAGAAGAATGACGTCGGCTACCAAGTTTACCCACTAAACTGACGCTGGCTTACGCGCGCGCACTACTTAGTATTGAGGAAATCTCGTCCTCGTAGTCGTACTCGGTCTCCATTGTAAGGGTTTGTATGAGGGTTTTTAAGGATACAGTAATAGCAAGGAAAAAACATCAGAACTTCTCACTTTGTCTTCTTGTTTTACATATGGTATGTTGCATTTTTGGCCGTTTCAGCGTTTCTAGCGAGTTTTTAGTTTTGCCGTTGTTCTCTATTGTAGCATACATTGGACAAATCACTTGCGCGCGGCGCGCGCACCCCTAAGAAAAAGCGTCTCGTCACCATTCTCCGCACTACTTTTATTCACAGTTCCAATTCCAAACATTTCCTCGCGCGAACGATCCTGCAGGCTACGCAGGCTATTGTAGCCTCTAAATAGCTTACGTGTAGCCGCACCCTCCCCCTCAAAGGGGGAGGGTGCCGCTACACGTAGGCTAGCTTCTAAATTACATAATCATGAAGTTTCAATTAGTAGGGTGTATGTTTGTACATTTGCATAGCACGACTACAATGCTGCATAACAAAATAAGAAATGGTCAATTGGGGCTTATCGCCTGATTCGTAAACTCACCAGACTACGCGACGGATATGGCGGTGAAAGGTAAACAATTGAGCAATGTTGACAGAAATGACAAGAGCGAAGAAAGGAATCTTTTCATCCGCGGGGATTAAATTTTTTTTGTAGCTCATAACAACAAGATGTTTTACTGGTAAACGCTAAGACAACGCATGTTTCATTTGCGCAAAAACTTAGCATGATCAGAATTCGAAAACCATCATAAATTTTTCGCTTATCAGCGAAAATAACAATGATTAAGTTTCATTTCAAGTACTGAATAAGGCGTCTCTATCATTTCAAGTACTGAATAAGGCGTCTCTAAGGCTTCGCATAAAGATCCATTTTTACTTAATCGGCTGTGTCCTAAATAGAGATTCCTGATAAGGCTTTGGACACAAGTTTGATCTGACACTGATCAGATTGAGAAGACACGTATTTATACTGGACACTTATCAATAATTTATCGCAGTCTATTATTAACGAAGTTACTCCGAATAGATAAATTTTTAATTACATACTCAATGCCTGACGGGGCAGTAGACTGCGGGATTAATTCGAGAAGCTGATTATCTAGTTTCTAAATAAATTCTAATAAAGTTGCCTATAGTTTGATATCAACACAGTCATAAATTAGTAAAATAAGTATTAAAATATCGCAATAGATCAAAAACTGGAAGTAGTCTTCACCATCACAACTCAAGGGGATGCAGGTCCTTCCTTAGCGAAATGCTTTTCGGCGGAAAGAATGAAAGATCTTCAGCTTTCATCGGCTCTTGTTTCCTAACGCTGGTATTTTTTATTACAATAAAGCAGATTAATAGCTACACAGACTCCTCTCAAAGACCTTCGTGATCCTCTATACAGCCTAATTGATGTTAAGACACAAGGAGCAACGTATTTTGTTGTTTACTTAATGCATGCTACGTGTAAAATTTATACGCTAAAATAAGGACAAAAGTAATCAAGAGATCAGATCGAAGAACATGACTGTACTTACTGACTAACACAAGAAGACAAAAAGCCCCCATCTCTTTACTGCGACCACATGTGCGTAGAAACCTGAAAATCAAATGGCTCGATGCCATATTCATCGGCGTTGCGGGCGGCTATGATGTAACAGACCAGGGCCCTAGTCGGAAAAATTTAGTTTGCACAGTGCATCGACTGTAAACCATTAACGTCTGACTTGTCACGCAACGACAGACAGTGCGCCAAGGTCTTACAATTTAAGTCATCAGGAGCCATAGGCTCCTGAAGTCATCAAACTCCGCATTCCATAGTTTTTAAACGGAAAAAACAAAATTTGCAAAGAAATTTTGCAAGATGGGGTACGGTAAAAACCCGCCTTACGGCGCGTTATTACGGCCACTTTTTTTATGGCCGCGCGGCAAAACGACCATACATTTTCTTGTAAAAAGAACCTCGTTAATACGCTCACCCGTTAATACGCGTACGGCCAAATTTTTTTGGCCCATTGGTGACCATATTAACCGAGTTCCACTGTACTATGTTTCGCACAGGAAAACTTTGGGGGTTATACAGCTATAAAGCACACTTCCACTGTCTTCTACTTCACTTCTGGGCTCAAGTTTCCCCCAGACCCGGCCCTGGAGTTCCCTAAATTAGAAAGTTTGAAAAGAATAAAAAATACCTAACAAAATGCTGGCAAGCAGAAGTGCAACCGGGTCCATCATTTGGGACTTTTGTAAGGATTTTTTTCCCGCAAGAAAACCAAATTTTGATTATGAATGATAACATAAACGCGCGCGCGGCTTTGCCTTCACGCGCGCCAACACCGATTCTCCCTTTCGAACGCACTTGATCGGGATTTCAGTCACGCAGGCTAAAACAATAGGAAGTTTTGAAGTGAACTTGAGGGGAAAAAGCGAAATCTACAGGATCCACGGGTCAATCATTTGGGACGTATGTAAGGATTTTGTTTCAAGATGACCGACTTTTACTTATACCTGGATTTTTGAAAACCGGGTTAGCAAAAAAATGCAACTCATTCTGCTACTTGTCCATACAAACCTTTCTAAATTTTTTTTGGGGTCGACACAGAAACATTTAGAACGGTTTGTATGGGCTTGAGAGCATAACTGGGCTAATATCTCAGAGACAATTTGCCCGGAAATGCTCATTTTTGGCATCTAGGCCTCTTGGACGTTGTTCTTTCAGAATATCCCGACAAATCCAATAATTTCAGAAATTTAATTTTTATGACGTCACACTTTAGTACTCTATTAGAGTCCGCAGAAACTAGACCTAGATCCAGTTTTCCCGTGTCAATAGTTGCTTTTCCAAGATAAAATCAGCTAACGTAAACTTTTCTCCTCTCCATAGCTTACCTGCAACCAAACAATTCCTCGCCGTTTCTGCCCTTCCAGAGGCAGGGTAAAGCTACATGTAGGCTAGCAAACTCAAAAGTAAATTTCGGAAGGAAACTTTTCAAAACTCCGGCTAGATCACGGGCGTTCCACCCCGCTCACGTCACGAATGTGTTATGTAAATTAGCTTTCTCACAAGAGAGACGGTGTCGCGTTACAAGCAACCGCTGAGACTTTCTATGACAAATAAAATAGTAAAATACTGACGTCTGCGAACGCTTAGTATCATTATTCTTACTCATTTTTCTATAAATTAAATAAAGGAGAATTCGTATTATAAAGAAAGTGAGAGGGGTCAAACAATACCAAAAAAACCCGACTCAATCGATGAATTCACACCTAAAAACACAGGAATACATTAAAAGTGAGTCTCCTTTATTAATTTTATAGAAAAATTAGACCTCAGTATTTTATTTCTCATACAATATCTAAACGGTTGCTTGTAACGCGACTCCGACTCTCTTGTGAGAAAGTTAATTTACATACCGTAACACACTCGAAACGTGAGCTTGGGATACCAGTGGCTAGATATAGAGTATGTATTGAAAAATTCTTGTGGTGCGGGTAGAAAAAAAAATAAATAAATAAATACACAAACATACCCTTGACAGTTATCTTTGTCAGCTTATAATCTGATTTATTTGGTGGAACTGATACTGTGCATTTGTATGTACCAGTGTCCGAGAAGTGGGCATTTGCAATCTTCAGAACAGCTCTCACATAATTTGCATCTTTAGTGATGTTAACTTGGCTGTCGGGGACGGCTGCATATGATTTATTATTCTGTTCCTTTTCCCACTTCAGGGTAGAAACTGAAGGGCCTTCAGCTTCACACGTGACTTGTCCACTCTGGCCTTGCAGCACATAGATTGATTTGTTTGGTATCAACACAAAATGCCTGGGTAACTGCGCTGCAAAAAATATGTGCAGAACTTTACATACCGTCTTCAATACGTACTGTAGTCAGCTCCACAAAATGTTCATTCTAGCGGAGCCAGTTTAAAATTTTGTCGCGCATCGCGCGAGGATCGCAAGCAGAATGCGATTTCGCTTTGGTCACAAATCTTTCTTTCTACCAAAAAAGATATCTATGTATGTGGCACATATATCCCACCTCAAAATTCAATTTAGTTTTGTCCTGAACTATTTGAAGAACTTAAAAACGATATTGAGAAATTCTCGGCTTTTGGATCAATTCTTCTTATGGGTGATTTCAACTCTAGAACAGGAAAATACTCAGACAATGTCTGTCAAGAAAGCAACACCATTATAACAAAACCATCAATCTGAATTCTCGCTATGCGCCTTTCAGCGACACAGTTTTGATAACGAATTAAACAACCTCGGGAAACGTCTTTTAGAAATATGTAGGAGTGCAGATCTAGAGATTATGAATGTTAGATTCCGTGGTAATTCGCTGGCAAGACCAACATTTCATGGTATATCAGGAGTTAGTGTTGTTGACTATGCAGTATGCAGCCTGCGTAGCAGGGGTCGAAAAGGGAAGGGGATAGGGAGGAAGAAAAAAAAAGAGGGAGATTCGGGAGAGTGGTAAGGGACGCCTGCTTCCCTTCCCAGTTCCCCTCTTTCGCGCTTTTCTCCCTCCCCCTCTCCCCCTACCCTTTTTGCGCCTGCCACGCAGGCTATGCAATATGCGACCAAGACTAATATTCCACTCTATCGCGAATTCATTGTTAAAAGATCCGTCGAATTTAACAAATCACAGTCCAATAATGACATGGCTTAACATTAATACGGTAAATAATCACTTAGCTACAGAAAAAACCAATGATACATTAATTTGTTTACCCAAACAGGAAAATGCATATGATTCATCACAAAAATTTAAAACAGCAGTGTAAACAAGAGACATACAGAGAATGATACATGATTTTCTTGTTGACTGTAGGACAGACAAACACATTAACTCTTCCCTCGATGCAGTAGAAAGGATTCTTTTTACAACCGCAAAACATTGTTTAAAAATTAAGAACATTATAGAACGATATACTAGAGTTCTAACAAAAAATGGTTTGATAAAGAATGTGGTCTTAAGAGACACGAATTGAGGAAACTTTCTATTCTAAAACACAGGGATCCTCTCAATATTACGCTTAGGGAAAAATATCACATGGTCTTAAAACAGTACAAAAACGTTCCGAAACAGAAGAGAAAAGAATACTATCACACTAAGATTTCAGAACTGAAAAACATGGTAGATAACTCAAATAGCCGACATTTTTGGAGCTGCCCAAAATCGATGGCAGAGTCGCTTCGATCTTTTATTGTTTGCATAGTGCTCTGTGTTTGTTTTTATTTGAAACTAACTCTAAGAATAAGTAGGTTCCGAATTATAGTCACACATCAAGGTAAAGCTGAAGATAATAACAATTTACTGTACTCAGAATATTCGTACAGACCTGCTTGTACAAATAACATTGAACCACTCTTCCATTCTATCGTTTGACCTGACTGGTCCGTTGCGTTGCATTTATAGTATCCCCCATCCAAAAGAATAACGTTCACTAATGTGAACACTTGTTTCCTCAAAAGAAGTTTGTTTGGTGAGACTGGAACCACATTATAAGAAACCCCAAAATCTTTAGAACGTAGAAGTGACACTGTGGCATTTGGGTCGTCAGTTGTGCAATTGTAGTCAACACTCCAGCCAACATGAGATGCCTGAAGTTGTGGGGGACCCTGGAGGAACTTAAGAGCTCCTACACCTACAGAAAATAAAAGAACAAAAACAACAACAACAAAATACTTTGACTTTCCGTCATTAAAATAACTAGAGACTGGAGAGAATCGATATGCAAACCACAAGCTTCGCTTTGATAAAATCGGCCGGAACAAGCGCTCGCAGGAGTAAAAGTTACACTGCCTGTGCCAAATTGATTCATTAATTCAGTTAATTTAAACTGAATTACACAGCGTTGGACATACCTGGAGTAATCAATAGAAATGAAGAATGAAAAAAAGCCCACCAAACTAAACCTCGCCAAACATCGCAATACTCCCGCATCCCCATTGTTAAAACAAAATAGCAAAATAGTCAAGATCACGCACTCGAGTGCTTTTCTGTTCTTTGTTCCAAAAGTCCGTTTGCACGATGGCGTCATTTTATAATTACGACCAGAATTCTTTTCGTTTTTTTTTTCATATGTAAATTTGGTAGCACCAGTGAGGTTTAAATGACAAAAGCCCTAATTTGCACAAGAAAGTAAAACCCTGAAGGATCCTGGTCATAAAAGTACAGTGACGCCATCATGCGTGCAAATGGCCTAATAAAACATATTTAAAGAGACGATATAGCCTAGAATAGGCGTGTCAACTGCAGCCAATTAGAAGCCAGTTCATGCCTTTAAAGCTTGTTTAACGTCAAACCCGGGTGAACCCTGCGCCATATTTTCGCTAGTATATTTCGTAACTTCTTTTTAACTTACGCAGATAAACTTCTCACACCCTGTGATTCAAGTTTCGGTCTTACGCTTAGCTCGCATGTCATTATTTTGAATCAGGCTTACATTGTATAAAGCGTCTGGAAAATGATACATTTCATTAGCGTCTGATCTCAACTATGAATAAAGGACACAAAATTGTGCAAAAAAAAGAGAATCGTGCATATTCAGGCTCTCAGTAATTCCCTTGAGGCTCGTTGTAGACGAGTGCTTTCTGCCAAACAAGATTATAGTCTTAATCCTTTCGATCTAGGAAGGGGGCATTCCCACTCTTTTTGGCATGAAAGCCGGTATCTCTTAATGAGAATAACATTGAAAATGACCTCACAAAGGTAAAAAACAAATACACGCGTTCCTGCCAGGAACGCCTGACAAACACATATCACGTTTATGGTCCCATTAGTATATAACTAATTATCTTTCACAAACTACATGTTATAATTGTCTTATCTTTCTTACTTTGTGCCATTGTATCTCGTTGTCTTTGGACGGGCAACCTTAACAAGGGCGGAGTCTTTCTATTCTGGTCAAAATTGTACTGCTTGTACGTATGTTACTGAAGGACACACTGATTACCCCTTCGTTACAGGCGCCGGTTACGATTCACAGAATTATCAGAGAAATTTAGAGTCACGTTTAGGGCAAACAGCAAACCTGAGGTTCAAGTTGACAACTTCTCAAATTAGGAAATGAAATTTTCCAAAATAAATCTGATGGATGAACATGGCATCATAAAACTTATTCCAGTGTCGAAATAATGACCACTGTCAACCCTGAGAAAAAGGCAAACTTAATCACGTGGTACAATTTGACGTGATTCTGAATCTCTCTATAGAGCGTTTTCACCTGACGTCACGGCGGCCATATTGGTGTTCCAAAACAATAAAACGGCGGCCATGCCAGTCCTGTGGGAGTTGAACTCTTTTCTTATGTAAACGCTTTCTTTTGTTCCCATAAATTTGCATAGATGCTGGTCACGTGAGTGAAAACGCTCTATTGTCATTCCATCGCTCTGATACTGAATCTGGGAAAACTGTAAGTACTTCCGGGAAAATACTGGCCTCGTCCCCTGTAAGTCAAATCGTCTTTTTTATGATTTTCACTTTTCGCAGTCTTATTATTACTGTCAAACTCAGAAAACCGTGAACACCTGAAAAATTTCAGGAATGTTGATTGTATACTGGCCAATCACAATAAAGTTCAGGATACACAAGCAAACCTCAAAACCACAAACTAATTACCGTTGCTGTTTGTAGTTTAGTTATCTCGCGCCTTGTTGGCTTATTTCTGGCAAAACAATAACATTCCATAGAAATTTCTGGTGTTCACGGTTTTGTGAGTTTCACAGTAAGATACAGTAAGATACAGTTTTCTTTGCCTTATTTTGACCATATTGATGAAATGAGGCCTGGTACGGTACCTGATGATACGCTGTAGGCTTTAGCTTTCTTTAAAGGCTTTAGATATTTTCAACGCATGAAAGACCAAGAACGAGACAGACATTGCTTAACCTGCGATGTGGCAGCCTTTGAACCTTACAAGAGACACAGATGATCGATGTTCGGGGAGGTTTCATTTACATATAGTCGGCAAGTTAAGAAAGCCTGGTAATACCAGACTAACCAATCATTTCTAGTTAATATTTTTCAGTTAAAGCCCGAGTTATTAGCAGACTTTCATGGTAAACTTCTACCAGGCTTAAGAATATCACGAAAGCCTGGTAAAACCGGCTTAACCAGGGCCTATTAGATCTATTAGGGAGCATGTTGTGGAAGACAATGTTGTTATACCTCCTGAAAGTAGTGTTATTACATTTATGATCATTTTAACTGCAGCTGATGTCCCACACCACACCCTTGACTTGATCTGCCGCACATTTCATGCAACCATGGTTTGCTCACACCATGCATGCATTGTTCCTCAAGCAAATTCCTGTAAACCAATTTGTTTTGCCATTGCAACAGAGAGGAAAATATCTCTGAAGCCTCAACCTAGTTCTTCAACTTCACGTGCAGCCAAGACTCACCAAGTATATATTTCTCAAATACCTCAATCTACCTGTGGAAACCTCGAAGACTTTGCAAATCTTGACTCTCTAAATCCACATGGGACAATGCCAAGAGGATGCAACAAGACTATTGGTTGGACCTGTTGTTTAAGTATCACACCAATGATCAAAATCTTTTCAAACTTAAAAAGCATTCCAAAGGAGCATTCAAATTGGGTTAAACAAATGGCAAAGCGTTCAGCCATTGTCGACAGCCTTCTTGTCTACAGAGATAAATTTATGGAGGACCCACATCATTACCGTATAATGATTCCCCATGACATCCAACTTTAACGTCACCTGTTAAAAGTTTATCATGACTCACCTGCAGGAATGCATCGGGGACGAAAGACAACGTATGGCGCCCTTTCTCATGACCTTTATTGGAGAAACATGGCTAAACATGTGGGAAATTGGATAAGGCGTTGTCCAGACTGTATTAGATTCAAGTCTACTGATCCCAAGCATGGCCCAATGCAAGTGCGAATGTATGAGCATCCCTTTCACACCGTTGGTATTGAATATGTTGGACCATTACCTTCTACCTCCTCTGGCAACAAATGGATCCTGACTGCCGTCTGTCTATATTCAAACTTTTTACAGGCTATTCCAGTTCCAGACAAACAGGCAACTACTGCAGCACGAGTTCTATTTGACACAATATTTCTGCAATATGGGTTCCCAACAGTCTTACAGAATGATCAAGGGGCCGAATGGCTTAATGCAGTGTTAAACCGCCTTACAATTCTTCTCTCTATTGATTATGTTGTTACAACTAGTTACCGTCCACGACTCAATGGCAGTACAGAGCGCGTACATAGATGGTTAAATGCAGCCATAGGCATTTACTGCGAGAAACACTAGGAACGCCGGGAAGACTTCTTACAGTCAGCTATCTATACACGCAATGTGCCTCCAATCCCTGGTACTGGTCAAATCAGCCCATTTATCTTGGTATTCGGACGACATGCACCTTCACCTGAAATCATCCCTCTTGATTTGCCCCCAGCAACACTTTCAAGAAACGCTTTTGCCGAGCAGCTTGTATCTCGTTTGTGTGAAGCACAAAAACAGTTTAACACTATCAAGGCCGATTTAAAGCGGACACAACGAGAGTACTATGATAAGTCCTCTAGGGATTTAGCTGTTACTGAGGGAAAAGAAGTTTATGCTAGACGACCTCCTCCTAGCTCACAGCCTGAAGGATCTGCAACAAGGTTTAGACGTCGATTTGATAAACCATATATTGTTTTGGGACAAGTCCATGGTCGCCCAGATCTACTACGTCGTTGTCGTTCCTGATGGACAACTTGATTCATCCACTGATCTCAGAGACAGTGACGAAATACCAAGAGACATAGAGACTGTTCCTACATCTAACCCACCCACACGCACAAGAGCAGTTATTGATCCAGATATGGCCAAACTAGCATTTTTCTTTGGAAAATATCTTGTTGGTCTTCCCAAAATAATTATTTTTTGTTACTTGATATTAAATTCTACGAGAAACAAGTTTCAGTGATTAACAACCTACAACCATTATCTTACCAATTTAGGTCCAATATAACTGCACGCCTTCCACTTCACGCATCTCAACGTTAACCAGCCCATAAAATATACAACGCTACTGCAGTGCACTACTCACACATACCTAATACACATAAAAACAATTCACACACGCGCAGTACATCGACGCCCAAATATACTCTCCCACAGCGTCTTGTTCGATGATATTTCGGTTGTGATAAACGTCATAAGATTATGCATGGTTGTGGATAGTCTTATCATGTGCACCGAAAGTGTATGATTGTGTGATTTCCGCATGATGTTGACAGGCAGAACTCAGGTATATATGTGGTTTGTGTGGTTGAGCTGTTTTGCCAAAATATTCTGTGTCAGACATGAAAACGTTTCTTCGGTGTTCAGGTTAGCTAATTGTACCTTAGAAAAGCAAATCTTAACTCAGGAAAATTGGAGCTAGGTCTAGTTTCAGCAGGCTCTAATGGCTTTGAACCAAAAGGCCGGTTTTTACAGATGAAAAGGTGGTAAGCGAAACGCGAGCGCGCGTGAAAATCACCCACGCGGGAAAGGCGAGACGTGGCGGAGAAAGAGGCGCGTTTCGCTCGCTTTACTATCCCTAAGGAAAAATGGGGACTACTCGTAGTCTAATCGCACCGCGAAGAAAGTGTTGTTTTGCTAACTACGTTATGTAAGCCTTCATAACCAATTGCAGGCACCTTTTCGCTGCATTTCACTCAACTTTAAAATTTCTAGACTGAAATGACACCAGTTTGAAACTTCACAGAGTCAGATTACTGAATAAATGTTCTAAAATTTGCGTCAATTTAAATTTGGACTCGTTGAAATGCTTCTAGTAACCACTAACTTACTGCCCGGCGTCAGATAAAGGCTTTTAATCGGCCTTTGAATGATGTTTTATAGTTTTAAATTGCCAAGAAGTAGAATGAGTTGATTTTTTGCTAACCCGGTTTTCAAAAATCCAGGTATACTTATTTACGCCAACATTAACGCGCGCGCCCAAACTTTTCCTTTTCCCTGCAAAGGTCATACATAACATTTGGAACTTTGGGAGTGAATTTGGTGGAGGCGGTGGGGGTGAACGGAAATCTACATGATCTACGGGATAATGGCAAACCTTACTACATAGGTAATGCTCGTATGGATAAACAGTGCCTTCACTGCGAAAGTGGAAAACAAAACTAGAACAAAAACCACGATCGCAATCAAAGTAAAATTAAACCACGTCATTTTAGGCTTTATTGATAAAATTTTGTTTTTCCTTGTAAATCAGTCCACTCAGTTTTATTTTAGTTATCTGTTCGTTTTACCAGGCCAGACTCAGTAATACCAAGAGAGAATTCTCTCTTCACTGCTCTTGTTAATACTATTTTGCCACCGTTTACGAAAAAGAAATATTTCAATCCGCAGCTATTTGTAGCAGTGCGCAGGGTATATTGAGGCACATTAACAGCAAAGATATTTCGATGAGACGATGACGAGAAAGTGTATAACAAGCAACGGATCAAGGTTTGAGTAAGACTTTTCCAGTTGTTTTCTTGCCCTCTAGCATATCATGAGCTTTGCGAGCTTCTGAAAGAGGAAGGACAGTAAAATCTCCCACTTTAATCTTTCCTTCGGTGATCCATTTAAACACGTCATCAGCTCTTGTCTTGAGTTCCTCGGGGGTTGATACGTAGTCGAAAAGCTTGGGATGGACAAGGCTGCGTGAACCGCTCGAAAGAAGACTGAGGTCGAGAGATTCTGGGTAACCAGAAGCACCACCGAAAAGGACCATCATACCGCGTGTTGCCAGGCAATTGAAACCTAAAGGAAAATATATAAAATTCTAAGGCCCGTTTACAATTGCCATCTTTTGTGCAGTTTTTGTAGCATCAATTAATTTCAGTGCGATTTGTCGCAGAGATACAAATTTTCTAGTAGTGTCCTCATGCTGAAAAATAAATAGTACCATAAGAAAGTGCTGTCAAAGATATTTCTTTTGAATGGACCCACTGTGATTCTTCATTGTCACAAATATTTTTTTTACCAGGCACCCTTGATGACCGGACTGGCAAGCGAGAGTTCCGTCGGTATTCGCTCCCCGGGCAGGGAGGGGAGTTCCCTATAAAGATGACACAAGTTTGTCGTACCGTTGTGAGGGTGCTTTCAAAGCAACAACGACGGCGATAACCACACGCCAATTTTGCAAGCCTTTCTGTTCATTGCTTTGCATGACTAGGACGTCAAACCAGTCCTAGCTTCACGTTTGGTGGACCTGAACACAAGAAATCCGTTTTCTTTTTCTTTTTCTGAACTTAGATACATTCCTTTAGGCTTCAACTCCAGAAACACTCACCAACATTTGACAAATTGAAGGAACGACATGGAATATTAAAGAACGGTGAGATTTGAAACAAAAGAAGCTCTCTTTGTCACAGTACGTTTAAGGGGTATTTTGGTTATTTAGGCGAAAAATACGAGGGCAATTTGTCATGCAAAAGAGCCATGTTTACCGCTATTGAAAACTATTAATGCCAATTAAGTTGATCTAAAATTGGGGGTGAAAATGAATTCAAGCCATGCCCACAAAACGAAGATTCTGGGACCTCTCTTCCAACCTCCCTCTGTCTCTCTTACTCTCTTTATTTTCTTGTTCCCTTTTTCCTCCCGTCCTGTCTAACTAAGAGTCCGAAAAAGTTTTCAGTTTTCTGTTGTTTTTCTTGTCTTTAATTTTCCGATGCGTACCCCCAGCATTTTTATACGGGACCTCACCGAGCGTTGACAGCGTTTTTTTCACTGAATTCAGGGATGTGTTTGGTAACCAGATGGCTGAAATGGATACAATATTAAGAGTCAGCCGGACGTTTATGACTGGTCTGTCGACCTCAACAAAAACCCTGAATGGCCTTATAGCCATAGCTTCGTTTCTTTTTATCCATATAGTGTCCTACACTCTTTTTTTTATATAAGAATGTTGTTTTCCAGGGCCAGGCTGAATATTCTTATTTTTCCGCCGATTTTAGGCTGTAAATATTCTTGTATTATTCTTAATAATTGCTTATGACATTTCCGAATTAGAATATATTAAGGTATCAATTATAGGTTTGTTAAATATAGTTAGCTAGTTTTGCCGTTTAAAGAAAGGAATAAATTGAAAAGGTATATTTGTATTGTATTTACAGATTTTCACCACACGAAATTATATCCTTTTCAAAATCTCAGCCTGGAGTTTATTCTTAAAGTATTCTTAAGATTTCGCAAATTTCAGCCTCGATATTCTTATAAAATATATTCTTATATAAAAAAAAGAGTGTATCGTACTTACCTTTGTCAAAGGTTGCCTTTCCAACTCCATCATAAACGACATTGACACCACCCCCGTGAGTCAAGCTGTTGACTTCTTGAACAAAGTCTTTTTTGGAATACAGAATGACCTCATCTGCACCACAAGCCTTTGCTTTTGCCGCTTTCTCCTCGGTGCTGGTTGTGCCAATCACATAGGCTCCTGAAAGCAACGGCAAAGGATAATAGCTTTCCATTAATCGGGACACTTTAACCTCTCAACCCTTTATGGTGGCCAAAGAAAGAAATTCACTAAAACTGCAATTTTTTTAATGACTTACTAACCACACAAAATATACAGGAGATAATAAAATAAACTAAAATGACTAATAACTAATTTACAACTCCAATAGCTAACAACAACAACAACAACAAAACACTAACAAGAGAAAAAAAAATAACTATACTAAGATCACTAAGACGACAATGAAACTATATTACATCTAAGTACTAGTCACACCTAAACTACTGAAGCGGTTATTAACAAATAACGCCATGACAAATAGGAATTACAATTAATTTAAACAGGCAATCAGAGGAAGAAGAAAAGACAAAATTCAAACAAAATTCTCAAGAGATATAAACCATTTTCTTGTAAAGAAGCTAGTAGTTTCACTGTCAACGATAATAACTCGTTCAGTTTCATATTTTGCCACAATCATTTTTTTTAAACCATGTATCTTTGGCGGTGTCTTGTTTGCTCTACAGACCCACAGATAAACTTTACCAATAAGGAAGCATACAATTAAGTAGATGACGAGAAGGGCATTTTGTAGTCACTACCCCTACTATAATGTCTTGCAGTGATAATTATATTTTTTCATTTGTGAGTAGGTGCCAAAAAGATTCAAAATCGGACTAAAAAGTCTTTGAAAATGGACAAAAATAAAAAAGATGATAAAGCGACTCTGATGCCCGCGGAAAAAAGGAACAGAGATCGCTTGAAATGTAGCCTATTTGGTACAACTTGGATTGGTATAGAGGATACCATTGAGAACTTTATACTGAAAAACTTTGACGTAAGGTTCAAGAGCCACGGTGTCTGGCAGCTGAACAATTTGTGTTAATTGCTGTAGTTCCAAAGAGGTTTGATTTGAATGAAAATACCACAGGTTCATCCCAGATATTTTGAGAATGCACCTTTAGAACTGCTGGGTGAGGAAGTCCAAGAACATGGACTGGAGTCTTTCGAAACTTAAAGGTGAGTCGGCTGTCAGTCAAGTCCCGAATTTGACCATAACATGCCACACCTCTCTCCGTCCAAACATTGATACCTGCATTAATTTCTTGGTTTGCTTAATTCTTCAGCTTCAGTACGATAATCAAAGCTGGACCCTTGTACAACCTTCTCCTCTAAATCATCACGCACCCTTGCAGGTCACATTCACTTAACTTTGCTCAATAATTTTCCTGTTATCATTACCTGCATTCTTAGCCACCTGACAGATCAGAGACCCAGTCCCCCCAGCAGCTGCATGCACCAAGACCTTGGTTCCAGGCCCCACTGGGTAGCAGGTATGGACAAGATAATGCGCAGTCAGTCCCTGAATCATGGATGTTGCTGATTGCTCAAAAGAGATGTTGGATGGAACTTTGACAAGTTTTTCCACAGGAACAACACTGTATTCTGCATAGCTACCTGCCATTTCAAAGAATTTCAAAGATATAGGATTTAGCAGACTGAGAGAAGGTCGCTGAGCAGCTTGCTGAGTTTACAAGAAAAAAATACACAATTCAATAGAATTAACTGTCCACAAAACTTTCACATTGACTTTGAGTAATACAGTAGGTTGCCTAGCAAACTCTTCCTTAAAAACTCTAATGGTCAACTCTCACATTAGCCAGTTATTAGCTATTTTACATTTTATGCCAATTATAATTAAGGGACAGGCAAGTAGAAATGGAATTCACTTGGCCAGAGAGGGGAGCTCAAATGCTCTTTTTTTTTTTTTCGTTATTTTTTATCTGTGTTTAGACTCAGATGGAACACTAATAATTTTCTTGTGTTTAATTGTATATCCTCCAAAGAGTACAGATCAAAGCCTATTTTAAAACAATTCCTACATTTTCAGCAAAAAAAATTGTTGAGATATATCTGTACTCAAATAGGGTAACTTCAGAGAACACACAATCCACACCTCCCCCCCCCTCCTCTAATCAAAATTGCAGTGTTTGCTGTTTCCACAGGGAGCTCAAACAGTGGCACAAGATTGCTTGGAGGGGGGTGGGGGAAGGAAAGCTTTATTCTCCTTTTTTGTAAGTTGGCAAAACGTCAAAGAGGCCCTTAAAGGCAAAGTGTCTCAACTACTTAATTTGTTGCCAATTACCGGTAAGTCTAGAAACTTTATAATAGAAGAAAACTTAAGTTCAATATTGTTACCTGATCCAACATGGAAGTATGCCACATGATCCCCAGGGGCCACACCTACAGAACCAGGTCCCAGCTTTTCCACAACCCCTGCTCCTTCCACGCCAGCAACAGCAGGCATCTTTGGTGTTGGAAACGTCCCATCTCTAAGGTAGACATCCAGGTAATTTATACCACTGACATGATTCTTCACCAAGGCCTAACGAAAATATTTTCATGAAAAGGGCTGCATAGCAAAGAAAGACTCCTACACGTTAAGTCTGACCCACAGTCTATATAATTTGCAAAAATTCATAGAAAGTGAGTCAACTTTATTGAGAAGATGTAAATGAAACATTCTCAAAGTTTTGCTTTTCATAGCAAAGAGGCCCCATAAACTAAAAGTAAAATTTGGACAAACCAGTGAAACCATCTCTAATGGTGACAAATGACATAAAGATTGGTTAAATACCGACCGGGATATAGCCTTCTCCTCAAAATGTGAAACAATAGGTTTGAAGTTCAGCCTAGAGGGACCCACTACGCCCTAATTATCAAAGAGCGTAGTCAACAATGGCAGCTTCCAAATTGACCGCCAATGCATGTAGTTTTGTCAATCTGATTGGTCAACTTTGTTTAGGTGGCCCTGCAGGTTCCAGTAGTTTAACTGTAAAGACCATAGACAAAATACAGGATATACTGCAGCTCTTCTGTAAATTGGTTAATTCTGGTGTTGGATACTCGACTCAATCAAAATCATATTCTCTGTTCACAACAGGGAGGCCAAAAAACTGTTCCCTGCCTTATATAAAAGGGTAAGGGATTGGACTTCAAGGGGGAGCCTCCTCATATATAACTTTGTTGAGTACCCCCCCTGGACGATGCCCTACAATCTTGCACTAGAGGCCCTGCCAGGGGGGGCTCCCATGTTGCTCGTCTGAATTTTAAAATGCCTTATGTCGGTGTTTATAAATGCTTCATGTCGCTGTAGGAACTTGAACAAAAATTCTTTGTCTTTGTCAGAATTTTAGAAAAGGGGGATGGCAATGCATTGTACAGTGTGAAGAAACCATTGCAGGTCTGCAATTTCTCAGTAAACATTTTGTGTATCGACCACCGTTACATCTGGACTCACAATTAACACAATAATATTCCCCAGACTAAGGAGATTCCAATAAAGCGCACTGACCAGAGACATTCTCTGAAGCGCAAGGAAAATAGACGAAAATAATACTTCTTGGCATTCAGACTGGTGATAAATTAACCAAACCACTGTTCTTTGTCATTTATTCTCGGCTTTGCCATCACTGGCACAATTTGCCTGAGGGAGGTTGTCTCTTGTCACTATTTCATTCTACCCTCCATCGCTACTTTTTGGGTCGTGTTGCTTGTTGGAATTTACCCTGGCAGGGCCTCTGGACTAGGCTTTTTGATGGCTGCTATTTTCTTATTTATTGATTCCAAAGAGCTAAAAATCCTACAAACAGTACAAGTGAACAAACCCTATCAACTTTTGAACCTAACTTTCAAATATGTACAGAGACAGCTTCTATCGGTTATAATAACTTGTACGTAAACAATAACACCTGCAAAAATTTGCCTATTTATATGTCACCATTGCTTTCAATTTTTCTCTGCACACTTAAAAGTAATGAAACGGGGCGCAGCCTATAATCTAATTATTGTTGCCCCTGCAAATATCTTAATGTAGTTGATGTTCATTATAGGATGCATAATTATTCATACGTGCACATAAATGGCTTCGGCTTGATCAACCGTAATAACCTGACACTGCAAAATTTTAGGAGGAGCTCACTCCCACAAAGTGGGCACTGACAAGTGTAATCTCCCCCATAGTTCTTGCCTCAAAGCAATCTCAGCAGGACAGTTTTCGACGTTTTCCATGAAACGGCACAAGCATAGTCCAGTAAACAATTTTTGAGCTAATTTTAATCTGAACTCATTTGTGGTCTAAAATTTATAGAACTGAAGAAAAACTGAACGTCCAATCTCACACCACTCGGCCGGACGCTAGCTTGAATTTCCTCGTCGAAAATGCGGTTGTAACGGATCGGTTCATAGGATTGAGATTACAAGCTGCAGGACCCTTAGTGACACCCGCGGTGCACCTGCAAAATCAAAGATCCCTCCACGCCTTAATATTCAGCCCTCCCATCGCCTCCATACGCGTGACGGTACTATAGCACTCACCTCTCTCTCTCCAGGTTCAGGGATAGGAATTTCTTCGTATTTCATCTCAGAAGAATCTCCAGGTTTGTGAACTACGATAGCTTTCATGGTACTTTTAAATGTGTCCTTAATTTGCGATATCCGTTTATGCGTGTGAAATCATGGCGAGCCGCAAGCCTTAGCGACCGAAATATGGGGGAAAATTTGTCCCCCATCTGACCAGAAGGCCATTGTTTAAATTCAGCCAAGCATAGACCGTTGACAGCTTGAAACCATACTTGAGCTGAAATGCGAATCTCCTTTCGTGGCCTCCTGTGAAGCTTTTTCCGACATATCTTTCAACCGCTCATTTTACCACACACTACTAAAAAGCTGATGAGACGAACACAACTCAAAAATAGAACCTGATAGAATGAAAATCGCTCAAAAACGGTGCATCAGTTGGAAAACTTGTGGTGGTGTAGAGGAGTTTTGCAACAAACAGGGGATACCTCAGAATCAATATGCATTTATTTACCGAAGATGAACGAAGTGCAGCGATTTAAATTTAATAGAATTTACATTAACTATAAATTCAAATAGTTTTTACAGTAGCTTTCTCTGGAGAGCAGAATTTAAATAGGAGACTTCACCGGCCTTTTCTCAAAGAAGGGAATAGTCCCGCTTTTAATTCTGCTCCCCCGAAATTTATATTTCTAAATCTAAGTAGTTTTCTTTTTCTTTTAAAAAAATTTTACGGGGGAATCGAAATGAATTTTGGTTGATTGGTTGCGTCCATCGCGGTTCCCCCTATTAGTTTTTTAATAAAATACCATTGCACGAACGGTCTCTATTATTTTTCACGAGCCATAACCAAGCAAGTTCCCTTGCACTAAGCGAAGGCGACACACCCGATCGCTTGCTTTTTCAGGCGACTCACCCAGAAGAGCACGTGCAGACGGAACTTTGGTCGTTGTTTAGCTTTGTTTTGAATCACTCAAATAATAAGTTCAATTACGAATTCTGAGCGTCTAGTTGACTCAATACAATCTTAGCAAGTCCCAAACAAAAGAAAAATATATTTGCAAACCGTTTTCCAAGACGATTTTACCTTATAAACTTTCCTAAGGCCTCGTTTTTTTACAGAAAGATTCATTTAATATACACGTTTTAAAAAGTCTTCTTGCACTAAGCGAAGGCGACTCACCCGATCGCTCGCTTTTAATCAGGCGACACACCCAACATAAAAGCACGTACAGAATACCCTGAACCATGTT